CCGGCCTCACCACCTTCTCATGGTAGGACCTCATCAGTCCCATGACGTCCTTGTTTGTCTGTACCGGCTTGCTCAGCCACTCTTCCAGAGCCTCTGTGGAATTGATGTCGACACCAAAAGTGGATGCCGTCAGCTGAGCCGCGGTGTGGTCCTGGATGGTCCAAGGTTGGACCAAACTTGGAGAACTTGATGCTGCACTTGCCGCATGCGTGGCCTCCTCCTGCGGTGTGGTCAACCCTGAGGCGACCGGAGTGGGGGGTCCACGCTTGTTGTTGGCACGGTCCTTCCAGTAAACTTCCTGGATGCCTTGAATCTCCGGACTGGCAGTCAGCTGCCTCTGCTGTTGAAAGGTGCGCATGGCTTCACTCATTTCCGCCATGGCGCGGTGTGGTCCAGGTAGATCACACACCTTTACTAAAAAAAACAACTACGTGCACGTGCCAACCTGAAAGCCGATACGCCTAGGGTTTAGGGTTTAGGGTTCAGGGATTGGGGTTCAGGGTTTAGGGTTAGGGTCTAGGGTGAGGGTTTAGGGTTTAGGCCACTGAGAATAATCACAAACAGGATAATGGAAAAGAAAATGGAAACCACTATATAGTATATAAGGGTATAATATGGGGTAATATAGGGATAATGGAAAAGAAAATGGAAACTACTATATAGTATATAAGGATATAATATGGTATAATATAGGGATAATGGAAAAGAACATGGAAACTACACTATAGTATATAAGGGTATAATAGTGGGTAATATAGGGACAATGGAAAGGAAAATGGAAACTACTATAATGGTGTTGAGGGTTTAGGGGGAAGTATGAAAACATATGATTATACCATTAATCTTGGGATTATTAACCTTATTGCGTTTGAGAACTATATCCCAGAGTGACCTAGCCAGCGTCATCGCAGCCATAATAACTGTAACAATCGAAAAAGTCACAACAGCAAGTGGAGCACTAGCTGCAGCAGCAGCAGGAAGAAGAAGAAGCTGCAGAAGAAAATACTCCTCGCAGAAACACACAGCGAGAAGAGGCGTAAGTGTCGCAATTCATGGTCGCGATCACAATGTCAGAAAATTATCTAATTAGTGCCGGCGAAAACCCCAAACAGCACATGCGAGTGAAAGTTATAGTTGGCGTTCAGCACCTTTCCGGTCAGAGTGCGAGGAAAACAAGGTAGTAACAGCTCAATAACTACATAAAAACATGTATGTACCCATTTGCATACATTGGCGGCTGAGTTTTTCCTTTTCTGAGTTTCGATTCCAAGTTCTGATTCAAAACAGAACTGATAACCGCAGGCCCACCGGGCCTGCAGGTCCGCGCCACGTGCCGTCCATCCAGCTGCCGCGTTCTTCGTTTCTTCCGCCAGCACGCCGCGGGCACCGCAGACGGCTTCGCGCCGCATGCCACCCATCAAACCGCCGCGTTCATCTTTTCTTCCGCTGGCCCACTGCAATCCCACCACGGGCCCACAGGTCCGCGCCGCGCGCCACCCATACTGTTCAAAACGGTCCTCATAACCGCGGGCCCACTGCAGGCCCACAGGTCTGCGCGCGTGCAGCCCATCCAGCCGCCGTGTTCTTCTTTTCTTTTGAGGAGAGAACCCCAAACGTTTCCTGTTTGGGGAATAACTGCACATTAAACGACAACAAATCATATGAGCCATTGTCTAAACTCCTAGTATTCCCTTGAGTAACCCCTATAGTAGTCCCCTATATAATCCCCTATATGACCCCTTAAGGACTTTAGAGCCTAAACCCTATATAATCCCTTATATAACCACCCTTGAAGGAGTTTAGGCTATAGTGCATATCCAGAGAGCCCAATACCCCCTAATTAAGGAATATACCCTAAATGGTACTAAGGTCCCTAATATGAATTAAGCTACAGTCCGTAATTAAGGGGTATTGGGCGCCCAACCCTAAACCTGAAACCCCAAATCCTATATTCCTTAATTAAGGGGTATTGGTCTCCCTGGGTATTCTATTTCTAGCAGCTCCATCAGATGACGGGGGCAAGCAAACCCTGCGGTCCAAACAAGATTCCACTCAACTTACCTCTGGCAGATTTGGGGTTAGGGTTTAGGGCGTAGTGTTTCTCATAGTAGCCCGCTGATAAACGATAATACAATAGTAGTTTCCATGTTCTTTTGCATTACATCCTTCCCTTCTAACAAATCAGAGGCTTTGGGCTGCGACGCATATTTCCTTGGAGTGGAAACCCTTCGTACTGAAATTAGAGACGCGCCTCCACTCCCAATTTGTACAGTAAGGTCTCATGGGGGAACATTAAGTTGCAGCAGTGAGGGTGAACATTACGTAGTATGAAGGGTTACATGGTTTGCAGCCTGCATGTGCGTGGGATAAATTCTCTTCTGAATGGACCCTTGGTATTCACGACAGTTCAGCGGTTCCTTCAAACTTGAATTACTTACGGAATATAATCCCTACATAACCCGCTATATATTGTATTCTCCCATATTCACTACTAAGAACCACGAAGATTTACAAGCAATTTTTGTCCAGAACCCTACCTAGGCGCCCTTGAAATTGGATCCTGGAAATAAGGGGGGAGTTCCCAAAAGTAAGGTCCCTTTGTGGTACCCCTAAATAGTAGACCAGAAAGGGCCATAATTTTCAAGATAAGCCATATTATGATAAATTGCCTTAGTGTTATTGTGGGCTTCGGGGGATGTAGATGGCAGATCCCCCGTTAAAGAAAAAGTGTGGAAAACCAAGCCGGCTGTGCCTGGCGTTGGGTGGCCCTCAGAGCGGCCGAAGCCACTGTAGTTGAAGACGAAGATCGAGCAGCCCTTTCAGGAGAAGCATAGGGGCCCTTTTAAACTCTGGGATTACATAGGATTCCTTATAGGCGTTGGCCTGTAAGTTGACTGAAGTCAAAAATCTGCGGCTTCGTATGGCTCGGGGATTCAGGCGGAGGGGTTATCATGGGTTCCCCATCCAACCCCCCCATACTACCCCTCCGTAGGTTCCCCCGTAATAATTAGGCCAAATTATCCCTAAATAGCCTTAACTAAGGGGGTAGCATAAATGGGGGTAGGAGCGGAACCCATGAGGTTAGGTGAGTGCTAAAGAGTTTGGGGTCTAGGATAGAAGTATAGCGGTTGCGGATATGCCAACAAGTTCAGTAGTTGGGCGTCATTGCTCTAAAGAGACAAAGATCCTGGGATGATCATCTCAGGATTCAAGGGATCTCCCCCAATAAACACCACCAAAAGGGGCCTACATAGCGAATTATGAGGGGTAGGATCTTAATGTAGGTGTTGGTGAGGTTGCGTGGGTTTCTTCAGGAAATTGGCGGCTGTATGTGATGAGTGTACATTGCAGAAACCCAAGTTTTAACTTCAGCCATAAACATGTACATGAATGAACACATACCCCAAAGTAATCCGATCCAGTCGTTCGGAGGAGGATACAGGCCGGGGTAGTGGGGGGTAGCGCTTCGGGTTGAATGTAGGGTCTGTTTGGTACTGGTTTTTGGGCTCCGTCCCTACCCCTGCCGGGCAGACCCCTAATTTCGGCTTTTCCGGAATTACATCATCCCAGAGAGAGCCTGGCACAGGGCCGCCAGGCGCGCCCGCAGAAGACCCAGAAAGCACGGTCGCCAGGCTTAGCATTTCTTACGAATATGTAAGGAGAAGTGGTCCCGTAGGCGGGGCTCCTGCCCCAGCACCTGGAGGTGCCGCTCACGCTCTAAATGAGCTATAGTCTAAACTCCTAGTATCCCCCTTAATAACCCCTATAGTAGTCCCCTATGCAATCCCCTATATAACCCCCTTTAAGGAATTTAGATTATGGCTCAAATGACTCTTTAGGCTTGCATAGGTGCTCCAAGGGATGGTGTGAATGGCTCCGCGGCATAATCCTGGGTCAAGGCACGCTAGAAAAGGGTGGGTACGGCCTTAGCAGGCCTGGGTGGGAATGTAGGGTTCAGGGTTTAGGGTTTAGGGTTGAGGGTTCAGGATATAAGTTTCAGGGTTCAGGGCTAGGGTTCAGGGTCTAAACCCTCCCCCAAACTACCATGGGACCCCATGTGGGCCCTCTCCAATGGACTGCAGTCTCCTGGACATTCCACGCTTAGCCCCTGGCCCAGCCACAGGAGAACTACTGTTGATACAAAGGTGTGAGGTACTTAGGGTCATGCAGGAATGGCACTATCCACTGTATGGTGATGACTCCCTCTACAGAACGGCACAGTAGGGATCTAGTAGCTACCGTTTCTACTGCAGAGTTCTGAACAGTCTCACTATCTTTCACCTCGAAGGCACATGGAAAATGTGCCCTGCTCCTCATAAGTGTTTCTCAAGGTGCTTACAAAATGAAAGTAGGACCTGATTCCAAGAACCCCCCGATGCGAAAAAGAAAATGAAAGCTACTTCGTGCATCATTCGGCGTTTTGGGTCTTAGGGAGACCAATACCCCCCAATTCATGAATACCCGTTAAATTATACGAATTGAAGTTGGGGTGTATTCCTTGATAAAGGGAACTTGGGCTGTCTGGGCTGAACATAACCTCTTACCATTTTAAGCCTTTACCCTAAGTCTAAACTCTAAACCCTAAATGCCTAAAGCCCACACCTCACCCTAAACCCTAAACCCCCTAAACCCTAAACCCCTAAATCCCTAAACCCCCAAAAACTCACCCCCTAAAGCCCTAAACAAATAAGGGCCTGAGACAGGTAAAAGTCCAGCCAGTGGGACTCGTAGGCCATGGTCTCCTAGAAGCTCAGATTCGAAAGGCTCTAGGGTTTGGGGCTGTGGGTTTAGGGTTTAGGGTTTCGGATTTAGGGTTCAGGGCTTAGGATTTAAGGTTTAGGATTTAGGATTTTGGGTTTATTCTCAAAATCTTGCCCTAAACTGTGAATCCAACGCTCTCCACTTGTCCCGAAACGCCGC